TACTCATCGATCTTACGCTTTAAGCTCTGTATTGACGACAATAGGATTGCCGTCAGTCGCCAGTGAATGAGTTGCGCGCGTCGATAGCGGATCTCTTTCACCTCGTCGTTGGTCTTAGTATTGGCCGAACCGGCGGTCGACACAATCGCCTCATAACCGAAGTTACAGCTATTGATTGGCGTCGCGTGAACTGAATTCCCAAACTTCTTGTCCGATTTGGAGGATCTGTTGGTGATATACGGCTGACACAAAGTGATGAGCGAGCCGTGAATGGATAGAGTGAGTGCCGACAGATGAAAGTAGTCAAACATCACCGGCAGGTAATAGTGAAGACCGCGACAGATGTCGAAGTGGAGGATGAGTTGTCGCGACGAAACGCATTCAATGGAGTTGTGGTGATCGGCGCCGAACTCCTGGTCCGTGAACCAGAGTTCGATGTCGAGGACAAAGTTGGTTTTGCGGACCTGTTTGACGCAATCCTTGGAGTCCACAATGAGGTTCACTTTGAAGGAGACGTAATCGTCGAGTGATATCTCTTCGTTCTTATAGAGGATCTGAAACGTCTTACTGACAGCACATCCGTTGACAATACACTGCGGAAACACAATCGACGACTCGTTGCCGCCGATGACGCTGTCGTTGGACGAGTGTTGAGCGGATCCGCCACTGGAGTGACCATCGCTGGCAGCGGTAGTGTTCGTCGGGGCGGCTGACGGGCAGGTGTTGTGCAATAAGTGAGTCTTCTTGTCGGTGATACTGACCTCTATTTTATGGGTTTGTTTGCAATTCAAGAGCTTTAATGAGACTCTGATTTGATAATAACTGAAGAGTTGTTTGAGTTGTTTGCCATAAATCATATGTAAGAACCAAATGATTAGAAATGAGTGATAAGAATTTGGATACAAGTCTTACCCTCGTTGGAATAAGTCAATATTAATGAACTTGCTCAATTGAACACTATATTCAATGATTGCTTGTAATTCTGACATATTATTTGACGAGAATTTAATACAAATTTCATAGAAATTTAATGAATTATTAATTATATTGTTTATGAATTTGACGTAAAAAATAGTGTCGTATAAGAAATATAGGTATAAATGGATTGAAAAATTTTTGGTATCAATTAATTAGAAAAAACAACATATCGTTTGGTGAATGCAATCATCGCTAATACAATTGCTTTTTAATATATTTGCATCACTTGATGGCCAAGAAGTGAGAAATTAAGCCAACAATTCATGATTGGTATCCAAATTCTTCATGTCTTGTCATATATTCAGTTGTATTTTATAGTTATGTTATTAATGTTGCGCTCATTAGATATTTCAATGCACTTCTCGTTAATGAAAAAAAACTCACAGTATTTTGAAGTTAAAGGCAAACAGTCCTGCGCTCTGCCCATACCTGAGGGCTCGTAAACATTAACCATAGTGTTTATGGGAGTCGATGTGAGGCACGAGTATCTCCACTACTGGTGAAAAACCACTACTATTTGCAACTCCAATGTTGCCAATGAAGCCAATGATGCCAACGATGCCAGTGATTTGGCATCACTGATGCCCTCGGGTTCAGGTGTTTTGCCCATCACTTGCCTTTACTTGCAATTCAATTGCTTTCAACAGTTTTGCAAATAAATTTCTATTTACTTTATGTTCATATTTTTGATTCAATTATTACTATGTTTTTCAATAATAAAACTCATAATTCAATTGAATTCTTATTACTATAAACTAAAATGTTTACTTCACATGTTGTGTGTGTTATATGTTATATTGAGAAATGCACTGAAAATAAATTAATCTCTATTTTCAGTGATATAATACAGAATACCGATAGACTTATTGATAATACTATTGAACGCTAGCTATAAGTATATTATGGAGTGAATAGAAATCCGATAATAAGTGGATAATTGTTTAGTGAGTAATGGAAAGAGACTTCACTTCTCTTTTTCTTCAATAATATGTCTTCAGAGATGGGATTTGTTAAGACATTATTCACAATACAATTACTCCAATAACAAGAATCGTTACTAAATGCGGGATTAGTTTCACATTCAATGTATTGGTAGTAATAGAAAAACAAATGTTTTATGAGTATTAATACAATATTTTGTTTGTTTTAATTAATTTTTATTAGAGAAGAAACTATTGATGAAATACTACTGTATGTATAGAAAATGTATTAATTTTTATCTAATTTCGGTGAATTCCTGACCCAATTGTGATTCATAACGACTTTCATATCAATTCTAGAGTTTTTGTTGTAATTTATTAAACTCTTTATTAAATCCATGCAATCATTGCTTAACAATTTGACCAATTGTGGGTCCGGATCGATGCCATTCTTCATGTCTTTGTGCATATCTTTCATCGCAGAGACATCTGTGTCTGTCTTTGAGTAAAAATCAAAAGGTATTTCATAAAAGAAGAGTCTATAGAGACATATGCCTAACGCCCAGACATCGGATTTCATGGGATTATATCTTAGAGACGGAGGTTTTGGACGAAAAGCGTCGGGACTCTTGAGATTAACACAGATATAGACTCGGATCTGTTCGGGTGACATATAGGGTATTGTGCCGATGGCAACCTCTCTCATGATATACCCCTCGCCCTCAGTGTAGCCCACATTAGCGCACCCAAAGTCAGTCACTTTGATTACCTCGTGGTCTCCATTGCCGGTAATGAGAACGTTATCCAATTTCAAGTCTCCGTGAATTAAGCAATTCTTGTGCACATAATTCATGGCATTTGCCATTTGAACGAAATAGTTCTTAGCCTCCATCTCATTGAACGCCAAACCCTTTTTATTTAGTTTATGTTTATTCTTGAGCCGTTTCCTGAGATCCCCTCCTTCTGCCAACTCTATCAACAAAAAGCACATAATATTCGGTACGAAGAAGTGGTCAACCAATTTGATTATGTTTTTGTGTTGACAATTGTTGAGAGCGTTGACCTCGTTCTTAAAGCTGTGAAATGAATTGTGTCGCTCTCTCATGTCCATTGTCTTCATGGCGCTCACTGTCCCACAAGTCGTGGTTTTTACTTTATATACGTTACCAAAACTTCCCGATCCGAGCGGTTCTTCGGTAACCAATTCATAGTTTTCTTTACCGATTATTGATTTGCGAAACTCGAGACCGTTGTACGTCTTTTTGTCCATTTGAATGGTTTTAATGTCAGTGTCTCTAATGTGGTGTTGACTGTCATAATATTCAGGTGTTTTCCAATTGGTGTCATAATTTTCACTACTGTCTCCTTCTTTCTTATGTTTGTTTGACTTACTCTTCGCTTTACAACAACAGCAAAAGATATTTGATAAAAATTTACACATTTTATCATTTAATTATCGTTTGGTTTCATTTAAATCTCTTAATTAGTTTTAAACCCAAATATAGAGTCGTTTAATTTGTAATGAATAAAGAAATAATTAAAATTTTATTTTGTAAATTACAAATCACGTGCTGTAAACATATTTAAATGCGACCGTGGGCGGTTTTAAATTGCAATTAATGTACCCGTATTTGTATGTAATGCAAAGAACGTGCAATAATTTTGTACATAATTGCTAAATAAGTGTTTAAATTAATAATAACGCCTAATAAACTATATTATACTGTATCGCACACA